TTATGAGCGTTTTTCCTTTACTGAATTGGTAGCTTTCTATTAGGTAATGTTAATCTTATATTGGTATGCCTTGTTTGGTAATGTGAACATTAAGGTACTAAAACAGAAGAAGAAGTTTTATGTGTACCAAACATGCACGTGTTGTGTTATATTTGCATAAAAATTGATGTATATGTTGATTTTTGGTTGCAGCATTACGAATTGGTTTTGACGCTGGTGCAGTACATGTAAAGTTTAATTTGATCTTGGGGATTTTTCAGTTTTGGGGCGTGAGTGCCAGTTAATTTATCTACATTGTCTATAAGAGACAACTAATTATTGAATACTAGATTTAAGCCCTGTTTTTTTGGCAAATAAAAGGCTCTTTTTGGCAACGAAATATATGATTTGTGTTTATAATAAGGGTGAAAATAATCATTTGTACTCGTATATATGATGTTAGTTGTTGAGATCTAGTTTGTACTCTTTCTAAGATCTCTACAGTTTTCTTATAGCGCTTTCAGCATTCCGTATTTATTTTTAAGACACAGATCTTGTCATTTTGCATTTTGTTATCTGATCATTTTATTCTGTACTCCGATTTGTTGTTTTGTTGAATTATAACCGTTACACGTGGCAGTATACAAAATAATTCATTGGGTGCGTGTTTGGTATTTAGTCCAGTGCTACTCAAATGTTGTGTCTATTTATGAACTGCTCTTTAACCTTTTCTTTCTGTCTTCTTTCTTTTCAGGTGATTTTTCTTTTGCTCATGGCATTGAGTTATGCCGCAGAATACGAAGGAGAATGCGAGTCTATTCCGCCGTTAACGCCCAGACTTCACACAGTTTCTGTTTTGGAATTTGGGGCTGTCGGGGATGGGAAAACATTAAACACTGTGGCATTTCAAAATGCTATTTTCTATTCGCAGTCCTTTGCTGACAAAGGTGGTGCCCAACTTTATGTACCCGAGGGAAGGTGGCTTACTGGAAGCATTAACCTTACGAGTTATCTGACACTTTTCCTGGAAAAAGATGCGATCATTCTTGGCTCTCAGGTTATCATTCTTTTATAGAAATTAATTTCTAACGAAAGGAATTTTGGCCGGTTAGTTAATGAAGAGTGCGCTATTTTTCTCTTTAAGCTGGAACTTGTTATAATCACCACAGAAGTATGATTGGATAATTCATTCTCGAGCTGGACTTCCTCTTACTGATTGAAACTCCTCATTGGGTGATCTCTTGATTAAACAGAATAAAAATGCCCTGCCTATCCTGGTTTTTTTTTTCTCGCTATACCTCCTTAAGCAGATACAAATATCCGGGTTCTAATCAATACCTTCTGCAGATTTTATTTGCATGGCCATTCTATCGATTTCTGCCACTTTTCAAATTTAGAACCTCTATCTTCCTTTACAAGTTTCGCGTTTGATTTAATTTCTTTTTCCTTATAGACCTCGTAATAGAAAAATGTTGAGGTAGATTGGAAATTTAAAGAAAAAAAATAACGTGTCACTAAATTGTGTTGTTTCTGCTGTAAGTTTTTTGCTGACAAGAGTTGCTCTACAAATTCGACATTACTTTGTTCTCATCCTGGGATTAGAGTATTTTTAAAAGTTTTCTCCTCACTTTTACAGGATCATAGTTACTGGGATGTAGTCAAACCTTTACCTTCTTATGGCCGAGGTATTGAGCTACATGATAGAAGATATGGCAGCTTAATTACAGGATATAATGTAACTGATGTCGTGATAACGGGTAGGTGTTCCTCCCGCAAATCAGCCAATTTCCCCTTTTCCCATATTTTTACAATTCAATATTGCCATTCTTGTGCAATTTTCCTTATTTTCTACCAATTATACAGGCAATAATGGAACAATTGATGGCCAAGGCTCCTTATGGTGGGAACAATTCACTGCTCATTCTCTAAATTACAGTCGACCAAATTTAGTGGAATTCGTTGGTTCAAACAATGTTGTTATCTCAAACTTAACCTTCTTAAATGCACCTGCTTGGAACATTCATGTTGCTTATTGCAGGTGGCTTGGTTGAATTTCTATATTTCATATATTTAATTGCAATTTTAAGTTTATCTCAAGTTTTATTCTCTTGCTTTTTGATGCAATATGATGCAGGAAGGTGTTAGTTCAGAATGTAACAATTTATTCTCCACCCAATGCTCCATACGCTAGCGGAATAGTCCCAGGTCCGTTGAAATCTAAATCTGAATTATTGCGTGATTTCTTGTGGGATAAACTTCAAATGTTCACGTGGATACATATTATTTGACTTTTTACCCACCTTATCGCCAAGTGCAAGAGTTTGCCTTGAAGTTTTATGGAACTTTTTCATTACTTTTTGCTCCAAATTCATGGTTGGCTCTTACCCTCAGCTTCAGTGAAGACTCTGGTGACAGAGCTTGTCCCTACTTGCAATTGGGATCCAAATTTTGTTTGTATGGAGACCAACTCTCTCTTTTTATTTATTTTTTTGTTGGCACGGGGGGTGGGGGTGGGAGCAATGCACTGCAAATTTTCTTTCGAAAAAAGAAAAGGAATTTCGAAAGAGTGCGAAAAAATAATAATAATAATAAATAAATAAATAAAAAGCTCTCCCTCTACCGCTCCCCTGCTGCCCCTTCTCTCTCCAACCCAAACTGCCATTCCCGGATAGCTGGTTGGGGGAATGTGACAAAACCAGGGATGGAGGGTTGGTGTGTAAGCAGCAGGTGGGGATAGAGGTGGACGGAGGAATGCAGGTAACAGGCGTGGAATGCTATTTTTTCATTCCCATTTTCTTTCTATTTCTGTTTCTGTGTAATTCATTGAAATAATATGCGTTTACTTACCTATATTGCCCCCTCAAAACATTATTTCATGTGCACTGACCTGACTTTTAAAGCCAATGACACGGAAACCGTACACTTGAGACTCGAGTGGTACAATTTAAAATGATGGGGACCGAAATGCTATAAAACAAAGTTTGGGAACCCAATTGTAATACTTATGAGGCAGGATTCTCATCTAATGTTTCTCTGCAAAGTGAAACTTGCAATGTGAAGTGTTCAGATTCTTCTGAATATGTTCCCATCACTAACAGCAAATTTTTGTGGGTTTATGATGCTGTTGTTATTGAAAGTGGTTGTGCCATTATGAGTCATTAGGTGTTAAATTTCAAAATTTCACTTTTTACTTGTCTAATTTTCTCTAGTTTCTTTAACTTGAAATGTTTTTCAGATTCTTCCGAGCATGTTTGCATTGAGAATAGCAACATTAGCACATGTTATGATGCTATTGCGCTTAAAAGTGGTTGGGATGAGTATGGAATTGCCAATGGAAAACCAACTGCAAATGTTCACGTTCGAGGCGTTCGTGTGCATTCTTCTTCAGGATCGGGTATTGCTTTCGGCAGCGAGATGTCGGGTGGCATATCCGGTATACTACTCGAGCACCTTCGCGTGCACAACTCCCCAACTGGCGTTGGGCTTAAGACATCAAGAAGAAGAGGTGGCTATATCAAAGGCATATACATATCAGACGTGCTCATGGAAAATGTAACGCGAGGAATTAAGGCAACAGGTCAGTGCAAATCTCATCCAGATGACAGATTTGATCTTAATGCATTGCCAGTGGTTAGTGGCATCACCTTTAAGGACGTTGTCGGTGTGAATATGGCTACAGCTGGGATATTTTATGGAATTAGTGAATCTCCTTTCACTTCCATATGTTTGTCCAATGTATCTTTCTCTGTCACCTCTGACCCCTCCACATCATGGATATGCTCAAACGTGTTCGGTTCCTCTATAAATGTGTCACCCGAACCATGTCCAGAGCTCAAGGGCTTATTTACAAGTTTGTCCTCCGATTGTTTCTCCATCTCCTATCCAAATACTGAAGTTGCAGTTTCATGATATAAGGTGCTGGACTTTCAATTATATAGAATAAGATGCTATTTCTCTACCAATTCTGTTATACAATATTCCATACCCTGCTCTTCTTATTGAACACCAGCTCCCTCCAGAAAACTTTTCCAGCAATCTCTGATCATATTACCGTGTACAGGAGTCAGGTTTTTCAATTGGAGAGAAGTTTAGCATTGTCATTGATTTCAAATTGCCAGTCGATCTTTCACATTGTAAGTTTTGTATTGGATACTGCTGCAAGATTGATTGTTCAGAATGAAAGGGTTTCTTGATTGGAGATGATATACAAGTTACTTTGCATTCTGTCTGTACTCTATTTGCATGCTCGGTAAGGTAGTCTCGACTTTGGACATACTTTAAACAGACGAGTCCTCATTGTGACATTAATTCCAACTGGTAGTTTTCTGAAACCTACGCCAAACAAGACATTTAGAATCAAATTTCAGTACTCTCCTATCATATTTCTAATACCACTGTCCAAAATTTTGTTTCTATATATTTATTTAACCTAGTTTACCATTGGGTTGATCCCGGTTTTGTTGGATATTGGTTAAATAAATCGAGAATTGAAAATCGATTAAAGTGACTTCGTATCGACTTCGGCCAAATACTCAAAAACTCGACTCAATCCGTTTAGGCAAAATTGTTTGCCACTTCGCTGCTTCGGGGCGCACAAACGGGGATCGACCTGCCCGGTCAGGTCGAGGGGGTCGAGGGGGCAACGCCCCCGAAAGAGAATTTTGATTTCTCTGCATGTATTGAAGGGTATATTTGGCATTTCGAAAACCAATATCGGATGAATGAGAAATTACGAAAAAGGACGAAAATCAGTGAATAGATACCTTTTCATAAAGGTGCATTGTTTGGAAAGAGTGCATGGTTTGGCCTCAACCATTTCGTCCACACCCTTTCATGGTCTATAAATAGGACCCTTTGGGTGTCCTATTCCTCACAATTTTGATATGCAAAACATCTCTCATCCTCTCTTCTATCCAAAATCAAAATCATTTCATTTATTTTGATTTTCCTTCATTTCATCCTTGGAGTACATAAGCCTAAATCTGGTTCGTTGTACTTGTGTTTTGGAGTGCTACAAACACAAGTGTAGCCGTTGTATCTTGGGAGTCGATTGCCGAAATCCGTAGGCACCGTTGCGGGGCAAATTCGACTTAAGGACAAAGAGTCCAACTTTTGCCTCGGCTTTGTCCCTACTTTCTTCTTTTTCTTGTTTGTGTTTTCCTTGCCGTTACTCTGTCCAATTTTCGGCACGGATTTACAAACCATCATTATACTTATTTTGACGTCACTATTCACAAAATTCCTCCAACAATTTTAAGTCGAATTTGATATATTTTGTGAAAGTGACATTCTTGTTTGGTTAAACTTGTTAAGTTTAACTTCTTCTTCACTTCTATTTTTGGAAAGGGTGCATGGTTTGGCCTCAACCATTTCGTCCACACCCTGTCATGGTCTAATAGGACCCTTTGGGTATCCTATTCCTCACAATTTGATATGCAAAACATCTCTCATCCTCTCTTCTATCCAAAATCAAAATCATTTCATTTATTTTGATTTTCCTTCATTTCATCCTTGGAGTACATAAGCCTAAATTTGGTTCGTTGTACTTGTGTTTTGGAGTGCTACAAACACAAGTGTAACCGTTGTATCTTGGGAGTCGATTGCCAAAATCCGTAGGCACTGTTGCGGGGCAAATTCGACTTAAGGACAAAGAGTCCAACTCTTACCTCGGTTTTGTCCCTACTTTCTTCTTCTTCTTGCTTGTAGTTTCTTTGCCGTTACTCTGTCCAATTTTCGGCACGAATTTACAAACCATCATTATACTTGTTTTGACGTCACTATTCACAAAATTCCTCCAAGAGGTTTAACTCATTCCCTTTTCTGGGTTGATGCCCAAGCCCATTCTTAAACTAGTGGTTGAGACGGGGTTCCAGGAAAAAAAAAAAAAAAAAAAAAAACACCATTTTAGTTTACTTTTAGGATTTTGCGTACACAAGGAATTATATAAAATAATGCGGAGGGAAAAAAATTAGTTCAAAAAGTTAACTGTGTTTTAAGCTAACAAATAATAAAATTAAATGTGGCATTACGTAACTCATTATGTAAAACTTATTTGTCCTAAGCCCCATGCATCCTGTTAACTTTGTTTGCTGATCACCACCAAGGATAAAATCAGCTTCTTTACACTAGCTAGTCATTAAAAAATAAAAAAAATCCGAAAGAGCTTGAACACTTTCTTCAAACCCAGTAATAGAAAATACAGGTATATATATGTTTCCAACAAAAGAATTGTCACATGATATCAATACACGCAACTGGAATAGTTGCTACATTTCCATATATACGAACGATGACTGTGAAAAACAAAACAGAAAAGAATGAAAAAATCTACATATATCCTCTTTCACATCCTCTATCAGAAAAGAACAAAAGATCAAAAGATAGCCTTAGCACAGCCCTCAACAGGTTTCCTACTTTCTGTTACCGGCTTTTCGTTTCACTTCAGCAGTCTGCCTTCC